TCAGCAGAGGATGCTTGTATATGGCATGTGTATAGAAAAAAACTACCACCCTGGGATGTAAACCACCATTTTTCATAGACAGGAGTTTCCTTGTCAGGCCTTTTCATTAGTATTAATGGATCTATGACAGTGATTGAAATGGGTATATTGGCTATGTGATAAGCTGGTGGTTCCATGACTATCATCTTTTTTTTTTATATCAGTTAGTGGTTTTTCAAAGTAACTGAATGTAAGAGGACACCAACTATTTACCTTTATTCTGGTCATTTTGTTCCTTTTCTTTGCTGAACAGAATCGCTTTCTTGAAAATGTGTCTCAAGTGTTTTTCATGCAAAAATAAAGGTTAATTTTAATGTACAAGAAAAATATTTTTGAATTAATTTAGATAAGTGTCATACTTCTAGAAAGAAAATGTTCATGTTCACACTTTGATTGGATACATAACTTTTTTTTTTTAAACTTGCTGAAATCTGAATTTACTCTCACAGCTCGTTAGTGATAATGTTGACCAAAGCTTAAAAGAATGTAATTCAATCAGTCACCATAGTCGGTGGCAAATAATAGCATTTTTCAGATTTAAATGTCACATACTGAAAATATTTGGATTCCTATAGTAACTGAAAAAAATTAATAGGTTGTTAAAGTTATACCTTCATTATTGTATGCAGAGTGAGGAGATTAATATTTCTATGGGCACTGTAACTTAAAATGTTTGGAAACTTGTGCATCTTGAATGTGAAACTGCTCTATGTTACTATTGTCAAAAGTTATCTATTGGGGGGAGGGGAAGGGGTGTTTAAAAAGATCCGGTAACTGTGGACTGAAACAAATATTAGATTACATGTTTATTTTTAATGCAAGAGTGTCAAATCAGATTAAAAAATACGACATTTGGATTTGCTGATAATTTGATAACATTTGGAATACAGGTTGTAACCGTATTGGTCTACAGGCAAAAGGAATCAGAACTCGTGGTAGAAGCAATATCTTTTATTAGACCAACTATGCCTGAAGAAGTGTGTGTGTGCCCGAAAGCTTGCAAATAAAGGGATTTTTTTGCAAATATTTAGTTGATCTAATAAAAGATCTCACCTCTACCTTGAGTTCTGATAACACTTGGAATGCACCCAGGAAGCAGGTTCTTTTTGAGTAAAGAAGTGCAATTTTTTGTTAGTCACTTTTTCAACCATAACTACAGTTTTGGGGGGACAGAAATTGTAGTCTTTAAAGAGTACCAAAGTACTGGTTCTTCTAATCCAAGTTAATTTCTCATAGGACAAAGTAGTGATAGTGAAGATCTTCCAGTCCTGGACAGTTCAAGTAAATGTACTCCAGTCAAACACATTAATATGTCGAAATCACAGAAGCTTGCTCGATCCCCAGCAAGAGTGATTTCCCCTCATATCAAAGATGGAGAAAAGGATAAACATAGAGAGAAACATCATCAGCAGAATGCTTCTCCCAGAGTGTATAAATGGAGTTTTCAGCTCAGTAAGAATTTTTTTAAGATCTTATATATTTAAATAATATATATATATTGGTCCAAGGTCCATGGCTTTTTATTTTCTAGAACAATTCCAAGTAAGCACTGTGAAATGACAGAACAGGGAGCAATGACCTCAGTTTGCAGCAAGGGAGGTTTAAGCTGGATATTAGGAAAAGCGTTCTCACTAAAACGGTGGTGAAGCACTGGAACGGGTTACCTAGAGAGGTGGTGGAATCTCCATCTTTTGGAGGTTGTTAAGGCCCAGCTTGACAAAGCCCTGGCTACAGTGATCTAGTTGGGACTGGTTCTGCTTTGAGCAGGGGGTTGGACTAGATGTGACCTCCTGAGGTCCCTTCCAACCCAAATTTTCTATGATTCTATGAATGCCTAACAGCATTGTAAAACTATACTGAGTGGTATTTCTGTGCCTTACAGTTCACACATAACAATCCTTGTAAAAATTGCTGTTTAAATTTTCATTTTCTCTATTCTTGCTCCTACCCCACAGTTTCATTTTTGTTGTTGTTATTTCAAGATCATGAAGCTGACATGTTATAAATTTGAATGTAGCCTAGAGTTATCCCAATTTTCAGATGGCTTAAACAAGTCATTAATTGGTAATTCAGGAAGTACTGAGTTGTCAGCTGCTAAAATTCAAGTTGCAAATGAAGTGCGAGATGGCAAAAGAATTTTGTTTTTTGGGGGTTTTTGCCTATGGTCCAAAATAGTGTAGCCTTAAACTGTGGGGAAACTAAGACATCTTCAGGACGAGTAATATTTTTACTCATAGGCAGTACTAATGATCAGTCATTAGGCAGAGGGGAGAGGTATGTCGACCTTTACAAGCATGATAGAAATGTATAGCCTTCTATTCACGGGGAGCACAGTTCTTTTCAGTGTCTGTCCCTAGAATGTAAGCACACTGGATTAAATGGAATTTAATCAGACATTTTGTGTTTTGAAGGAAAAATGTAAAGGCTTTGGCAGCCTATCTTGGATGTAACCTTATTTAGTAGTAATGTTGGTGTGTATGATATCGTTTATGAATTACAGTTACCTTTTTAACAAAAAATAAGTAAAATTATTTTTTTCCCCTCTTAAAGATGAATTGGACAACATGAACAGCACTGAGAGAATCTCTTTTCTGCAAGAAAAATTACAGGAAATACGAAAATACTACATGTCTTTGAAGTCAGAAGTAGCAACCATAGACAGGAGAAGGAAACGATTAAAAAAGAAAGATAGAGAAGGTATCTTTAAAATTTTACCTTTACTATATAAGCCTTCTATCATAAGAAGCCTTTTGTGAAAATATAAAAAAACCCGAACTTGATGTCATTCTCAGAAAAATAACTACTACAGAAAATACAATTCACCCAATTCTTGCTTTGTATCCACATAAGACAAAAGTAAAATTTATGTCTTGACTTTGCTTCACAAACTTACAGTAAATAAAGGAGGAAACATCTTACATATTTTAAAACGCATCTAATGAAGCAGGTTGTTTCCTAAAAAAGTCCCTCTGAACCAGTTAGCTTAGGGCCACATCATCTGGCCCCAGGGCACCCCATGGCAGAAATTTGACAGCAGGGGTACAGGAATTAATGCTCCCACCACTCCCACTGCCAAATATCTATACTTGTGGGGAGACCCATGGAGCTCAATGATACGGCTCCATGTACTGGGTCTGGACCATGGACTAGATGTTTAACACCTCTGAATTAGCTGTAAGGGCCTGACAGACATTACACGTATTGTGCAGTATTAATGCAGAGGTCGCACATTTAATGATAGCATGCCAGATGCTAAAGCAATTATCCCATGATAAAAATGGCAAACCCACTGCAAAAAGTCAAACCTGCCTCAAAAGTTACTTGTTGAAAGTGGAACTTTTCTGGCATACAAGTATCCCATGTTAATTTTAACATCTGGCATGTTACCTAGACCAGTGGTTCTCAACCTTTCTCCTACCAAGACGCATTTGTGAAGACCCATGGTCTGTCCCAGCCCATACCCCCCTGGCCCCTCCTTCCCCACCAGCCATGCTGGTGTCCCTCACTCCTGACCCACAGCCCCCTGCCCACCCAGCCTGCCAAAGGGCCCCCCAGCTGCCCCCATCCCACATGGGCTGGAGTACGGCGGCTGTGGTGACTCTGGCTTATGCAGGTGACAGCTGAGTGAGTCTGGCCCTGGCACAGGCTGGAGGGAGGAGGAAGAAGGGCCTGTGGCACCCCGCCTGCCCTGGCTGCACGACACCAGGCACCTTGGTCATGGCTTTTCCCACCCCCTGAGCAGAATCTGGCTGCCCCACCCCCACAAGCATGGGCACCGGCCCCCAGTGCTGCCAGCCCAGCCACAGAGCTCTACCCCACCCTCTTCCCCTGCTGGAAGGGGCAGATGTCTTCCCGCTGCCCCTCTGCCCTGCTGTAACTCACAAGCCTTTGAAATATTCTTGAGACACATTTTTGGGTTGCAACCCATGGGTTGAGAGGCTGACCTAGACCCTCTACTGTCCCGCAGTGCTCTGCTGTCCCCATCCCTCCTCCAAGGCAGAGAGAAGGATGAGGAAAGTAGTGGACAATGGGCCATGGTGGTGGCAGGGGTTGACCAGGGACAACTCTTCCCAATCAGCCCTTTCAAGCCTGTCAGGCATCTTGCAAGCAGCCCTGGGCCTGACTGCCTGCTTTCTTAAATTTACCATCATGTAACTACAGGACAGGGGAGCAGCTCCCTGGTCCCAGCTGTCGGCTAGCCCTTTAAAGTCCTGGGGGCAGTGTGAGCTGAGGAGCAGCCATCACCCCTGGCTGAAGAGCATGCCTTTATTGCACTCCAGCCAGGCAGCTTTGGATCTGTGGTCACCCATAGATTTGTTTTTTGTAATGCTACAAATTTTGGCTTGAGATGCTAATCTGACCTACCTTCTGCCTGGCTTCACATGAACACGCCTAACCACCTCTCCCCCGTTTAAAAACGTGGACTTCCAAATGTACCGTAAATCTGGGTTTCTACAATTAGCATAACAAAATCTAGTTCTTTTAAGATTTCAGAAATACAGAAATGGTGATATTGGTTGTCCAGTTCACATGAACCTAAGAATTAAAAAAAATAATTTAGACCAGTTTCATAAAACTTTTTTTCCTAGTAAATATTGTTATCTTGAATTCAGTGCTATTTGCTCTGATACCATGGCAATGAGTTCAGTAAAATTGTACTGAAACATGAGAACTTGCTAGTTGCTGCATAAGCAATCCATCTAGATTTTCCTAGTAGGATTGAAAAATATTCTATTAGCACTTTCCTTCTTCTGTGCCTTTTTAAAGTAAATAAATAAAGTAATAAATTCTCATTGAAATGAGAGACTAAGAGCACTACTTTGAAGGATAATGCCCTTAGGTCTGATATAAGCTGTTGTGCCTGACTTTCTCCATGTGACTGAAATGATGTGCTTTACTTAAGACCTCATAAACTGTTTTTTGTTGATACACGTTTAAAATCAGGGCAGCCCTAAGTAGCCCCCAATGTGAAGTGTCATTGATAGTCTGTTCCTAACATCCTACTTTATATATTTCCAGTGTCTCATACAGGAGCATCCATGTCTTCTGCTTCATCAGACACTGGAATGAGTCCATCATCATCCTCTCCTCCACAGAATGTGCTTGCTGTAGAATGCAGGTGATACACATTTCTCTGCCTTGCCAGCAGCTTGCTGCCATGGACATAAATACTGAAGTCCTGAAATACATCCGCAGAAAGCACTCAACTGGTTTGACATTGCCAAGTATATTCTGTACACTCTTCCACTGCTGGACTGTATGTTGTTTTTTTTTTTCCCCCTCCCCTCTTTTTTATTTTTAATTTTACTGTTCGGAGAAATTAAGCTCGTTGGTAACCGAAGGTTTGTAGGCACAATCTGACATGTATGTCATTGTGTATATTTGTGTTTTGTCAGCACAGAGAAAGGGCACTTACCAAATTTGAAAAGATATGTCCAATGAAGCCTTCAGGTGTTCTAGGGAAATCGTAGAAAAGCAAGTGCACCCAACAGACATCAAAATATTATCAAAAAGAATCGAGTAACTGCTGCACTTTCCTCGAACTGTATGTTAACCCTTGGTGAGTAGTTCCTCTTTGTGGAAGCACTTGCTATACAGAACTGCCAAAGTATATGTTCAGCAATGTGCCCAGTTTTAAAGGTGTATATGGGACAAAATAAATTGTGAAAGGAAGTGTAGTTTACTGAAAACTACAGTTGTAATAAGTCTTCCACTTTTTATAGGATTTTTGAGCACACAATTATGCAAATATTTTAATGTTTATTAATGTTTACAGTGGAATTGTGAATAGGTTTTCAGTGGACTATCTTATTCCTTGACAAAAATATTTTGTCTTTTTTCTATGTAATTTCAGAGTTTTTATTTTGTTACAAAAAGACAAAAAATGAAATATATAACAACAATGAAGTTATTTAACAAGATTTCTAAAGCTGAAATTTTTTTGTGTAAAATAAGGTATCTTACAACTTGTTAAATATATTTATTCAGACATTGGATGTTGTATTTTTATGTATTTTTTAAAATATTAATAAAATTGGAAAAAAAAAATCTAGGTTAGTTCACTCTTTCGATAAAACATTACCTATCAGTTGTAGCTCTTACAGGAGGTTTATCCAGTAGCCATGCCTGTATGTAAAGTGGGTCTGTCTATACTTATTTTCCACAGTGTAGAACTGTAATCAGGCATTGGATTAAATTATGACCTTATTTGGAAACTTTGGCAGTCCTCGTACTTATTGTTTTGAGGAACAAATTCTATTGGGTTGCCCTTAAGATGCTTTGTCACAGTTTTGTTTGCTATACTGCCGAATGAATTTCTATCTCCCAGAGCTGAGATGCAACAATAAAGTAAAGCAACTGTGTATGCTTTGTCTGTGGATTGTCCCACAGACGGATACAGTTTGTAAATAACTCTTCCAAAACCATGTATTTAAAAGTTTGCATATACATTATGTATAAAGTGATTTTTTTATCAATTTTTTTATTCATGTTTGTACATTGAAAGGGGTTTTAACCCTCTTTTTCTGTGTTTAATATGCTGTAGAGTAATAACATAGATGCTCTAGACTGTATATCAGGATATTATGGTTCACACAGCAGAAGGTCGGAGCAAAACACTAGTGATGAGGTAGCATTACTAAAATCGATGTTTCTTGAAATTTCATTTACCACATTTGTCAACTTGTGATTCCAATTCCTTCCATTTTCTCAGAGAATTAAAGAAAAAGTACTCTTGTAAATGCACTTTTTCTGTCTTTTCTTAAGCAAAGCAGAACTATTTCAATGTAAGATAAATATGAAGCTCATTAGAGAGCATTAATAAAGGCCATGTTTTAAACATAGGCTTTATATTTTATTTTTTATTTAAATAATTGTTCTTGTAAATCTACTGACTAAACAATAGGAAACTCAAACTTGATAAAGTGTTGTAAAGACTTTTCAGAGCTACATTTTACTGTTAATTTTATATTAGCTATGAATAATAAATAATAAAAATACTTATTTTATAAGGAAAATAACATGGGTCACATTTTCTCAAATTATCTTCCATGCTTAATATTTGCAGAAGTTAATTATTGATGTTGAGTGTAATTGAATTAATTCCTGTATTGTTCTTGGATTAATTTACATCTTGTGCAAATATTTAGCCTGTGCCTAAATACTAGCAGTATTTATAATGAAAAACTGGAAACAATTTGGCCTAAATCACTATTTTAAATATTATAAATTATGGATTAATCTCCAGCATTCTGTACTATAGTATAATTTCAAAATGGAGAAAGTTGACTGCTTCCACTTAACTTTTATGAGTGTTTAAAATATAGCAAGGAAACTGAAGAGGTGGGTAAAACAACTGTTTAATGTCCGAATATGAATTAGGAATGTTTGTTTTGCAGATGAAAATTTATTGAAGGAAAGGAAGAAGGCTTCTTTTTCCTTCTACTTTCCACAGGTGCTTTTCTAGATTATCCACTTGTATATCAGTTGGGCAGAGTATTCAAATACCAATTTTAATAGGTACTTAAAGCATTCTCTCCTGTATTATGTCATTACAGTATTGTAAAACGAGACGAGTTAAATGTTCAATAGGGAACAGTCCCTTGCTAGGAAAGGAGATATATAAAGTGACCTAAAAGCTAAAACTGAATGAGCTTCAGTTCTAGCTTCTGCTACATTTCCTTTTTCTCCCCTCTCTGAAACAAATGCATATCTTCATTGTCTTAAAAAAAAAGTTATATTATGTATTACAAACAGATGTATTTATAACAGATTAGCTAATGGTTTACTGCTGGCTGTGCTATAGAGGATCTTTTGGTGGAGTGTATTTCCTCCTAGTCATCCCTCTGTTTTATCCTCAGACTATATACTTTATTTTTAGGATGTGCCAGGAGAAATGAGTATAAGAAACATTAAGTTGACTCAGTTGTGCACCTCTAACATCCCTTATGTAGCTGAGCTACCAACAGGAGTCACTGAAGAATCTGAGGATGTGCTGTGACGTAGCACTAGGAGTGCAAGATTGTGTCAGTGCAAATCAGGAAGAATGAAAATCCTGTGTGAACATGAATTTGAATTGGAAGAGGCTGTAGAATATTTGTTTTCTTATTCTGCCTTGGAAGCACGTGGTTCCTTTCTTCCTCAGTGTTCAGTTCCATTAAAATAGTAAAAAAACCTCTTTAAAAACTTGACTTCATACAGGAAAAGACTGCATCCTTCTAATTTAGTTTATATAAACAGCCACTTTGTGGACTAGCTGTAAAACCTGTTGTTAGAAATGTAAGTTTATAAACACCCAATGAAACCACTTTTTTTTTTTTTTTAATTTCCCTTCCAGGCACCAGTTTGCTCAAGTTAGCAACCATTCAGTTTAGATAGGCAAGAGAAAAAAAAAAGGCTCAGGCAGGAGAAACAGAGATCCCAGAACAATGGGATATAACATATTTATATTTCGCAAAAATTGGACTATCAGTGTGTGAAGCAAAGAGGTGGCTTAGGTAAAATATAGTTTTCCTTAACTTAGCAATTAGCAGTGAATGTGAATAAGGGTAAGGATTTTTTTTTAATATATTTTTATTTATTTTTAACAAAACTTAGCATCTTTAAGGTTTTAATAGCATGTTCCAGTTAAGGATCTCAGTGTTGTACAGATAAATTAATTGAGTGAACCAGCACTCCTTTGAAGTATGTAGTATCTTCATTTTTTTTTACATGAAAAGAAACTGAAGGGTGGAGTGGTTACATAGATGCCTTCAGCAGGGCTAGAAAGAGACCTGAAATGCACTGGTTCCCAGTGTTAACCACGAGACTTTCCAACCTGGCAAACTTCTATTTCTTTTGTTGAACATATGTTTTAGTGCAGATATGAAGCATTTCATGGAAAACCTCAGTTCTGCAGTTTCTTCCTATAAATTATGCTTCTGTCTTTGCCCCCGTTGGGTTTATGCTGATACTCAAAGGGGGGGTAACTTTTATTGGACTCTACCTGTAGTGATGATTTATATTATTAATAGAGCAGTAACACTTGCTTAATACTCTAGATTCTTACAAAAATATCATGAGGTTTTTTCCTGCAGTTTCCACCACTTAATTTTGCTCAGAGGAGGTGGGTTTCCCTCCTTTCACCGTCTCATGGAACAAGCAGCAGGTTCTCAGACAGTATTCGTGTGTGAAACCTTTTCTAAACTGAGACTACAGAGATTTAAACTCTTTCAGCAGGTTTGAATGAGATAAAAGACAGTTTGGTCCCTTGAAACAAATTGGTTAGATGGTTGAGAATGACATGATAAACCTCTCCATAAACACTGAATTGGAGCTTAGCTCTTTGTTTCCCTGTATATTTAACAGATTCTGTGTCCTAAGAATGTGTTTGTTCTTAGCTCTTTACCTGCTACAATATTACAATCATAGTATGCTGACCGAGGATGATTTTACAGATGTATGCAACTATCAGCGGCAAGAAATTTATGAAGTTGTTTCTTAGCTGATACACCACAGGTCAACGATTTCTTACAACACCGACATCTTACAAATAGCGCACCTTGACCAATATTTTTCAAATGTGCTTACATTTTGAGAGAGACAAGTTAATTTCAGCAATGGAATATTAGAAATACCAAAACCTGTTTCCTTCTCACTTCTTCAGATATCAAAGCTGTCGTAGGAAATGTAAGAACATCTACCTACCAATTTCCGATATGTTACAAGTACTAAACTTAAGCTTTCCTGTTGTCAGCTCTAAGTAAGGAGGTATCGGTACATGTTAATTTTTGGAAATCTCTGAGTTTATCTTGTGAATCGTGTGTGTGTTTGCACACCTAAACGTGCTAATACTGTGTGGCACCCCCTGGCATCCTTAAAAGACTCTTACAGCACTTCGGTTGCTAATCCCTGGTTCTAGCGTACGTTGGTTGAGTTTTAAATGGCATACTTGAACCAAAAAAAACTCTTATCAAGGAGTTTCTGTAGTTGTTGAGAGGTTATAAATGTCTCCTACCATTTGTATTTCTGAACTGTAAATACTGTCATTCTTCATGTCTTTGTATAACTAGGACTTTCCTTACTACTTTTGTTACTTTTGGACTCTCAACGTTTTTGTTGTTGCTGTTCCTCTTGCACTAAGCAGTGTCTCACTTCACATGGAACCGTCACGGGCCACCACTCCATCCTGCTTCTGACATGGATGATGATGCTAAAAAAATAGTTGTTACTCCTACCAGTAAAACTCTACTCCAAGAGCTACGACTGTATATTGTTGGTTAAGTAACATGAACATTATCCTCTGTGATTTTAATGAGACTGCTTCCTGTGAAGTGTCCAGCTTCTCTTGGTGGTCTCCTTATAAGCTTGACGCAATGACACAGCAAGGATTGCATAATTACTGTGATGACTGCTTTTACTGTTCTGCCACTAAATTTCAGTGTTTACTTTGTTTGGAATGAGTAATCGCTTTGGTGTTATGGAGCCCTATGGGACACCGGGTTTTTTTTTTTGGCAACGTTTGTGCTTTTTCTCTGTCTCTGACTCAGACTCCTAGAAGAGTGAATTATTTCTCACTGGTTGTCTCTGTTTTCTCAAGCTGTGATAGCAACCTAACAACACTGTGTAGTCCAGCCCCATCCATTTCTTATGCTATTCTAAACTGCTCCGTTTCTAATCCCCCAGCTCGGTACGGTCTGACCTAGTTGATGTGATCCTGCCAGCTACACCAGTTATGTAACCTGGATGAAATGTTTTGGAATGTATATTAATAGCTTATTTCCTCACAGATTTTTTTTTTTTTCCTTTTCAAACAAGCCAGTAGACCTTTTAAAAACACCCAGGGGTGTGTCCACATGAGCGTGCACGTGCCTCTTGCTGCATCTCAAACCCCTTTGAGACACGGCAAGAGGTACGTGCGGGAACAAAAAAATGTTCCCCGCACTGCAAGCAAGTTTTCAGTGTGGGGACAAAATTAGACCCCTGGATATCCAGGGGTCAAAAAAACCACTCCACAGAACAGCAAGGCAAGGCACGGTCCCAGACCATGCCTGGAGCAAACATAGGAGTCAGTCCTCCAGAAGAGACGCTTTGGTTTCGGCCAGAGCGTCTCTGTGGTACTCCTGCTGGCCCCCAGCACTGTCCTAGGTAAGCTAGGGAATGGGGATGGGTGGGGTGTAAGTGTGTGCAAAGGGAGGCAGGGGGATGTCAGGGGGTGTTTGGAGTGGAGAGGGTCTGGGGGGCCATGGGGGTGGAGGGAATGGGGAGTGGCAGGGGGGCCATGTTCCAGGTGGGGAC